CAGGAATAAATCCAAGCAGGATAGTTAGTCAATAGCTGCTGTCATCTTAAAGTAAAAGAAACACACACACACACACACACAGATGTGCACGAAACACTTGGCGGGATTGTGTTCCTCTGGCACACAGTTAAACAAAGCTGCCTTAACATATTTACTCAATAAATCTAAATTCCATCCATTTTCAACATGTTACTGATACATTGTGTGTTTGGACAGTAAATGCATGTGTAAGATGATCCTTTTGGCTATCGAATGCAATTTTTCAGATTCCTTGTGGGCATAAACATTCCTTAACATTTTCCCATTTTTTTCTCTTAGAATTATGAAGAAGAAACACTCATACACTCTTAAAAATAAATGTATTTTATTGGCATCAATGTTCCATGAAGAACCTTGAACATCCATGGAACCTTACAAGGTTCTTTAGACTGGAAAAAGTTACACTTTTTAGACTAAGAAAAATTGTTCTTTTAAGGATTGTTCACTGAAAGGTTCTTTGGGGAACCAAAAATCGTTTTTGGAAAGATTATTTTTAAAAGTGGCTTTGGCCTCCATCAATTGCTCTTTCACATAATTTTCATGAATATTTTATGACTTTAGGCTGAATTGAAATTTGGGTTTTTAACTTGAACCCTAACGGACTCCGAACGGTTTCCCAAGATCCTGCTGGGGGCCACCCACAGGTCACTCGGGGGGTTAAAGGTCAAGTGAGAGGGTCGGAAGCTTGCGAGTGTTTCGGCGTACCACAACATGTGAGCGGCAGCCATTGTGAGTCAATCAGAGACTTTAGACGACGGAGACAATGAGCGCTGAACATCAGATCAAATCCACCGACACGATCCAGTCCATCGCAATCAGTAACGATCAGTGACAGCTTCTTCTATAGAGGCCACTTTTTCAGTGCCGCTGGTTCCGGAAGTGTTTTTTCCCATTCATTTTTCCCATAGGGATGTTAAAACGTCTTGGTTAAAAAAACGTGAACCAAACCAACCAGCTATGAGCTTAACGGCTTAAGTGAGGGAAAGAACTACAATCCCATGAAGCACTGCAAATTACTTAATTGAATTAAAAAGTAAGGTGAAATGTAAAACCATTCATTTAAAATTGTTGATTGTGTCTATAGAAACAAATTTATTGCAAAATAGGCATATATATTTACAAATATTAAAGTACTTTGGTAGCATTTAGAGACCAATATCATCCGTGGTGCTTCATGGGGGTGGGAGGAGCCAAAGATCTCTTTTGCTCACACATTTCTGTACATCTTCATGGGTAATGTAGTTTTTCAAGTAAAATCGCCATTCGTTTTCTACATTTGGAAACTGATTTTTAATAATAACTAAACCATTAAAGACAGACCTTTTGTGAGCTCTGAGATTGTTAATCAACCATATATGCTTTTGTTGATCCCATCTGTTTGCATTAATTCAACATATTTTTTAAATAATTGTCTTTAATAGAGGCATTTGTGGTAAAAAACAAAAACAAAAATACATTTTCCATGATGCAGTCCAGAAAAATTCCGCCAATCGGGGAGTCCAGCGAGCAAAGTGCCTGAGATTTTTTAGCTCCGCCCACTTTTGTGAAGCCCCGCAAATGACGTAATCAACTCTCGTTAACGCACTGGCCCTGCCCCCAGACCTGTACGTCATATTACATTTCATACAGTTGACTGTTGACAAATATGATGCAGGACAACAACTCCATAAATGCAGTTATGCCTTAAAATTCAAGATATTGGGGCAAAAAATGCCCCTGTATGTGTTTTTGTCTGATATTTATATCATATGATAAGCGATATCACACCAACAGTGAGAGCAATATCACACGAGTGCTGTTTTTGTCACGAAGAACACGAGTGCAAATGTGAATTTATACAACAGTTCAGAATATAAGAAGTTAATATTGTGCAAAATTTAAACACAATATTTAGCGTTTTGTTCAATTTTGCCAACGAAAACATTACCTATAAAGCCATAGCAGAATTGTTGTGCATCTCCGAGCAACACAGCTGTGTTTAGTTTCTGAATGAATCCGTGTTTTGAACTAATCATGTGAACGAATGATTCAAAGAGAGAGTGGTTTACTGAATTCCTGAATGAATCAGCCGTTTGAACGAATCATGTGAACGAATGATTCAAAGAGAGAGTGGTTTACTGAATTCCTGAATGAATCAGCCGTTTGAACATTTTACCGCCATCTGCTGGTAGTTTTAGTTTCTTTTTAGAGTATAATTTAATTTATTTAAAAAAAATAAAAACATTAAAGGGGTAGTTTAAAATAAACCACAAATAAATAAATACATAAATACATTTTGTCATCGTTTACTCACCCTCATGTTGTTTCAAACCTGCATGACTTACTTTCTTTTGCACAACATAAACGAAGGTATTTTGAAGACTGTTGGTAATTAAGCTGTTTTGGTCACTAGAGACTTTCATTGCATGAACAAAAAAATACTGAGATGTTTCTCGAATTATCTTCTTTTATGTTCCATATTTTATGTTTGACCATTGTAGCCTAAACATTTAACACAGTAATAGCTTTAAATTATCTTTTGGGGGTATTTTACACAGCCAAATTTAGCTTGCGATTAATTAGATTACTTAATTAGATTAAAAATTTTAATCGACTGACAGCCCTAATATATATATATATATATATATATATATATATAATATATAGTTTTATATTACTCCATTGTTTTTGTGATTGTCATTTGCAATGCATCATGGGATTGCAGTTCTTTCCCTCACTAAAGCCGTTGAGTTCACAGTCTCCTATCTTTGTCTTTTTTGTTTGATTTTCAAGTAGTTTTCTGCTTCAAATGAAAGTTTGTAATGTTGTGTTTCTCCTCAGCTGGTTGCTTTGGTTCGTAGCTTTTAGCGCTTTAACCAAGACTTTTTAAAAATTTCTATGAGAAAAATACATGGGAAAACTTACATAACCTAATGCACCCTATTAAACACAATTATTAAAAAAAAAATCAATTGAATTAATTCAAACAGATGCTTCAACAAAAGAGTAGACCACTGATTAACAACCTCAGAGCTCACAACACGTCTGTCTTTAACATTTTATCAGGTATTGTTAAAAATCAGTTTCCCTGAAAAAAATGAATGACGTTTTTACTTGACATTGGGATGCATCTCATATCATCTCATAACTCTTTCCTCTCATAAAATGCTTTTACAGCTCAGAAGAATGAAGGTGCTGCAATCTTTACGTTCACAGGAAAAAGATAAAACAGTCATCAGTGTTTTACTGCGCTGACATGAATCATTCTGACAGAATTACTTCATTAATGATGAATTAAAGTGTTTTCATCTCATGATTTTCTCTCAGTTTTGATTTATAAGGCCATCAGGGTATCTAAACAATCATGATGTGTTTTTAACAGGCAACGTGGCTTCATCAGTCATTTCTTCTAATTATATGTATTCTTATGCATGTTTTCTGTCTATCTATCTATCGTTCTATCTATGCATCATATATCCATCTTTAGGCATTTATGCATATTAAATAAAACTACATTTACTGCAAAACAGATACTTTTCTTAATGCAAAATGTGATTTTTAAAATATATTAAGTATAATTGATGTTATTAATCAGTTTCATTGTATATATTTTTTTATCTCTTTTTATCTATTTACTAACTTGTGCATTTGATGAACTTTGATTCGATTTATTTTGTAACAAGAAAAGTAGTGCAGCTATTAACTTTAACACCTAATTGTGTGTGTGTGTGTGTGTGTGTGAGAGAGAGAGAGAGTGTGTGTGTGTGTGAGAGTGTGTGTGTGTGTGTGTGAGAGAGAGAGTGTGTGTGTGTGTGTGTGTG